GTGATTTCCATTTGAGGCATTCACATTATTGGTGCTTGGCTCTCAAACTCCCAAGGAATCAACTCACTAGCAAATGTATGTAATTCTTCTAGTATCTTTTGTGTTTAAAAGTACCCCATGTATGCTAGATAGGTTATGAACCTTGGAAAATTATTTTGCATGTATTTTAGACAAACATAGATCCAAGGTTTCTAGGGTTGCATGAACACCTTAGGAATGTTAGTTTGCTCAAAACCCAACAGCTAGCTGGTAGATCCCCAAACTGCTGATCTCTCGACTCCCCGAGCTACTAATCATCACATAAACTAGTTAAGTTCGAAATTCTCATAACTTAACCATAAGTCCTCACTGGGGTAAAAGACCATTCTACCCCTCACATACTCTTGTGCCAAAATGAACTCTACTAAACTCTTGGCTCAAATAGATAAACACTCCTACAAGGCCCAATTTCCAATTGGGCCCAATCCATTGACATGGGCCTCAACCTAAGGCCCAATAATGCTTCTCTAGTCCAAAGGTTCAATTCCAGATAGCCCACTAAGGTCTAAGATACCAGCCCATGGAAATGGCCCAAATCGAGGCCCAAACAATGCAAAGCCCAAATCCGATGAGTACGCATGGCGTACTCCTCTGTACGCTAAGCGTACAGGCTGTATGGCGTGTACGCTGCGCGTACATGCTTGTACACCCAACGTATTGCTCTATTAATCCATTTATACCATTAAGCACTTAATACTTTATTCCACAGGCTAATATCACATATCCAAGTCCTCTTCAACGTCTTAATCCATATAGTCACTGACTTGGTGACTTTACATGACCCAAATGAACCCAAACTCAAAGTATAACAATCTACTTCCATGAAAATGGCCATAACTAAAGCATGGAAGGATTTTAATCCCAAAGATGACAACTTTATGATTCAATGACCCAAATAACACTGAGAATGGCAATTCTAAGCTTCATAAACTATAAGGACTCGTGACACTTCATCAATGGGACCAAAAGGGTCCATAAACCCATACTTCAAAATATCTAATCAAATAAACACCAAGTTCAAAGCTTTATACCTTATATGAATGCCAAATGTTGATGAGGTTCTGGATCTATAAGCCTTTGCTCCTTTGATGATGCTTCAACAATGGCCACCTTCCTTCAAAACACTAAGATGCACTCCAAAATGGTCTTCTAAGCTCCAAGATCACTCAAGTATGGATTAGGGTTTCGTAGTAGCTGCTTTAGGGTGAAAGGAGGCTGGTCTTTGAGGCATAATGTTCCTTATATAGTGCCATACCCTAAATTTAAGGGTTTTAGTCTGAATGGAGTACGCCCCGCGTACCCCTTTGTACGCTCGACGTACTAACAAACCACCCGCGACCATGCAGCCTTCTATGCTAGGCGTACCTAGCCAAACACACGCATGCATTCCTTGCATGCGTGGGACTGATCTTCTACTTATCTCCATCAGGGACCAAAATTATCAATAACTTCAAAGTGTCAGATCTTCCTCATCCGAGGTCCGTTTCCAACGAACCTTATATCCACAAAAAGGTGGCGAGAAACCATACGCTCCTAACAACACACCCAAGCCTTAAAACCTTCTGAATAAAACCCAAAACTCATAAAAGACCGAGACATCCGTTTACAATCATACCCTTGGCTTCCGAAGACACAAAAGAATACTTGGGTCACTCATGCCATGACCCCCACCTTTGAACTGGGCCAAATCCTTCCTTTGTCAAGGCCCTAAACCCTATGGTAATGATAATTGGGCCTCAGCCCCGAGCAACGAAACACTTTCAAAACTGGGTGTTACAATATATATATATATATATATATATATATATATATATATATATATATATACACACACACACACACACACACACACACATGCAAGACCTTTTAAACGGTAAGCCTATGCACGTCATTGAGGAGCTTCCTCTTGCCACCTACTTGCCTCCTTCATCCTTCCCTCGGCCTTACCTCATTGTGACTTCATACCTGGATTTCAAAAAAAAAAATGATAATATGAGTTGTTTCCATCCACCAATAGAAAGGCCGCCTTCCCTGTTCTTAACTTATGCGGCGTCAACTGCTTGCCTCCTTTACACTGCCTCAAACAAACTGAGCCACTCTCTATTTTCTCACGCCCTTTCTTCTTTCTGTCCCTACTTGCTTTGTTTACCACCACATTGAAGAATAAACTCCTTTTACTATTAAGTTTCCCACAACTTCTCTGCTTCCATATCTCTCCACCATATCTATTTTCCCTCCATCAACACTCTAAGACAAGATCATGTTGCAACTTTCCAAGAAAACAAATAGCAATAAAGAAGATGTAGATTTCTTATTTCACTACTTCGTCACCATGCACTTCGGGCATCCATGACATCTGACCTTCTTCTGTCGGGGACACCTGACCTCGTCGCATTGATGCGTGTCAGTTGACTTCGGTTAGGGTGTTCTAATTTGGTCCTATTGAATTGATGGCCATTATTGTGACTCCTCTTCCATCGACGCTTACACACGCCTCTTCCATCATTTTCTTTAATTCTAATCTTCAATTTTTGGTGTGTAACTACAATAAACAAAAGGGTTTTTCTCTCAAACATCTTTTTGTTGAGGATGGAAGTAATGGAAACATAGTTCCATATAATAGACTAAAACCGATCTTGATAGTGCTAACTCTAGAACAATATATTAGGTTAATATTGTTATTATAAATTTCAAATAAAAAATAATCAAGCCGGGTAAAATATATTTTTAAAATACTTCTTGATTCGTTCTATTACTATTTTTATTTTCATAATCTTTTTAGAAATGAAAATTTTGTTTAGAATTTAGTTATCCCTGAATCATAACAAAATTTGGTACAAAATGGGCTAACCCAAATGGAACTAGTACTCCACACTAAATGGGCCAAGTGGACAACCACATTTACCAATATTCTTTTAATTATGTCGAATGTATTTTGAAGAAAAAAGAAAAGCAAGAGCGGTAACACAGAAGCAAGCATGCGCCTTAGCTCACCTGAACATTACCTCGATTTGGCGGGATGAAGACGCCCAAATAAATTCACAAATAAATTCACAAGTATCTTTGTTCGAGCAAAAAAGAGGGAAGAAGATGAAAATTAGGTCAAAGTCAAATAGTAATCGAACGATGCTTACCGGACATGAAAGTTTGATCAGATTAATCGGCAAGCGCCGACGATTCCTCCCAAATCGTCAATCTCTTCTGTCAGACCCCATTCAGGTTCGTCTTTTTCTATTTTCTTCATAATCAGTCATACATGATGGTTATTGGTTATAATATACTAATGTATGCGATATTATGATCGGATTCTGTTTGTTTTGATTTTCAGTTATCTTCGAGTCTCGTGAAAGTTGAAAATGGAGCAGAAGATTTGTCAGAGGAACGTAATGATAATTTGGCGGGGACTTCGGGTTCCGATAAGGTTACTTGCCCGGTTTGCGGGAATAAGGTTCGAGGAGAAGAGTACATGATCAACTCTCACTTAGGTATGCCTGCAGTCCAGCTTACATTTGAGTATTTCTGGATTAACCTGTTCTTCCGTGAATTTCTTTCTTATGATCACCTTTATTTTCTTTTTGGGTATTTTGTGTCCGAACTATTGTCAATACTTGTTCTTGGTGAAATTTCTCTTCCATCGGGATATGTCTAGTTTGATTCATTCATAGGCATAATCCGTAGAGCGAAGTTTCATTAATGGTTTAAAGTGGCCTATGCAATCTAATGTTTGTTTATTGGTTTTATATATCATTATTGTAAGCTTAATATGTTCTATGATCTTGGAAAATCTTATCTTGATGAGTTTTTAGTTTGTTTTACACATTTGCACTCTACTGGAATCTTACAGATGCATCTGGTTTTAGATGCATGTTTAACAAGAGGGACCAAACGAAAATTAAGCCAGCAGACACTTCTCCAGTTCAACTTCTCCCCCAGATCAAAGGTCCAAGCTTGCCTGACCAAATCGGATGATACAAAGTCCAACCTTACCAGTGATGTTAATGAGGTTGATACTGAGGAAACCGACAGTATCATATATGAGTCATCTTCAAGTTCAGACAATGCTTTACTTGTGAATATAGATGGTTCAGCCGAAATCTCAGTGAATGATGACACTGTAAATAATGGTGGAATAGTCAACTCTCCTTCATTGGTTTCTGAGATTGAGGCCTCTGAAAATGAGAGTGGTGACTTGGATGATGACATATCTGGGAAGATTCTTGCAACCTTCATTGTTGGCAGAAAGTTTGGTGAAGAAGGGGAATTACATACAGAAACAAATATTACCTTCTGTAGAGATCCTGAAAATACTAAGGATCCTAATGCCATTAAGGTTAGTTAATCTCTTTACTGTATTGGTTACAATATGATTTCAAATGCCCTGCAAATGATTAAAGAATCACATGGCTTTTGATCCAGGTTCTTTCTGCAGAATCTGGATGTAATAAAGTGCTTGGTTATATACCTCGAGAGCTAGCTGAACATTTGTCAAAACTAATGGACACATTTGGCTTGACCTTTGAGGTATAATAGAATTTCCCTCGAATGCTACCGATTTTTTGCTAAATAATGTGTCTTTTTTTGACCATATGATTGTATTACAGGGTCGTATTATGTCTGTTCCTGAACACTCTCATGCTGCTGTTCCAATTCAGATTTGGTGTCAAGAAAAGATTCCTTATAGTGAAATAGAAGGCGAAAAAGTTAAACTCTATAAGTCATTATGTCAACAAGTTTTAGCCACTGTCAGATTAAGTGAGGAATCCCCTCCTGGCATGATGAAGTACCAACAAAACTTTTGCCTGTTGCTACAAGAGGTTTTGAGGACGACACCTCATGTTTTCACACATGATGAAAAGACCCTTTTAGGTACCTATATCATACTCTGTATCATCTATACATGCCCCATGTTTATGTAGAATCTCATACTAATATTTCCTTATGTATGTTTTCTGTTTGCAGAAAATTTCCTTTTGCTTTCTAATGATAGCCAAAAGCTCTTTATTCGTCTTTATACACGAAAAGGTGTCACTTTATCTCTCCTTTAAACATTAGATCATCATGTCCTATTATTATTATTATAGATTTCAGTAATTTGCAACTCTGTAGATATGAATCATATGATATATAATTATATATCTATATTTCTTACTCCAGGTCCATGGTTTCGGATGTCTAATATATCTTATGCTGAAATATTGGATCACCAATCAGCAGTGAAGGAACTCTCTGGTAATTTAACTTTGTATTGAAACAATTTTACATAAGGCTAAAGTTCAAAATTTTATGACCTTGATGAGATTGTTTATCTTGTCATCATGCAGCAGGAGGTTATGTTTGTTCCACTGAAACCACAAGTGAATTACATAAAGATGATTTTGAAAGAGTCTTGAATCTCCTCAATGTTGGTGAGCTGAGGGAAATGTTATCTTTGATTAAAAAGGTTTGCATTATATCAAAGCTGGATTAAGCTATCAAACAACTTTTTTTCTTCCCAAAATTATATCTTGATGGAGCATTCTAGAAGGATCCTCCTAAATTTGGATGATACTGTAATTGTGCTCCTAAATTTATCTATTGGCTTCTGATGACCACACAGGAAAAGAATTACTGTGTGGACAGATACGGGCCATATATTCTTATCACTTAATACATATAAAAAGATATTTTCATCATCTTTTCACATTTAAATATCTGATAAATCTAATTATCTTTCAGAAACACAGTCAAAGTCCACGCAAACAGGATTCTATTTCTGCACTTCTTTCATCATATGGGGATAAATCAAGGTCTTGTGATTGTTTCATTTCAATTTTCAAGTTCTCAACTCTGTTTATGTTAATTACTTTCTTGTATTAATTATAATCATCAATCATGTATCCTTTATACTGTAGGTCATTGTTAAAGAAAATGGTGTTGGAGAAAACAGGGTCTTGCATACGTATTTCTCCAGCAGCTGATTTGCTAATTTGGCGTGTTGAGGTAGTGTACTAACTGCTATGGTCTCATGTTAGGAACGTAATCACTCATTCCATTCCTGTTTCTTTTTCATTCCATTCCATCCAACCAAACACACCCTAACTTTTTAAGTTGTTTCCATGTAGAGGCTTTTCTTCTGTAATGGGGAACAAGATCTGTCAGCATTTTTACTTGTGGATTTGGGAATTGTCAAGTATCCAACTTACAATTGTGTCATCACTGACCATATTTTTTCTAACCGAAATGATCTACTATCTTATGAAGAGGTAACACAAATACACTATAATATATTAATATTATCATTTATTTAAAATATCCTGTAGCCTTTATTAATCTATAATTGTAACCTCTCAACAGGCACTTGAAGTTGCACAAATCATGGATGAATCTCTTGAAGAAAATAACTCTTCAATGGTCTTAAAATGTATTGCAATATCTGATTCCCGAATATCCAGTCAAACCTCCAAAAATTTATCCTCACCCTTTCCATGCTTTTCTGCTTCATGGATCTACTCCAAGGTGGCTCTGTCAGGTGTTTCCTTTCTCGAGTCTGAACGTAGGTAAGGGCAAAATGGTATTTTTCTCATCTTTTTTTGTATGTGATTTTAAAGGATGAGATGATTTACTTTCACTCAGGTACAATGATGCAGTTAACTTGCTGAAACGCCTACTACTTAACTTTCCTAATGATAGAAGAAGAGGGTATTGGACATTGAGACTTTCAACTGATTTGGAGCATCTGGGTCGGGTCAACGAGAGCCTATCCGTTGCTGAAACTGGGTTGGATGATCCATGGGTTCGGGCCGGGTCAAAAGTATCATTACAAAGACGGGTGCTCCGGTTAGGAAAACCACCAAGAAGATGGAAAGTTCCAAGCTTTTCAGACTCCATCAAACGGAAGATTCCAGAGGTTCATGTTAAAGGTAGGCCATTAAATTGTAAAATCGGAACAAAAAGCCGGTTTTATGGAGAAGATGGAGAACAATGTGGGGTAGAGGAGCTTGCTCTACAGTATTACGCAGGAGAAGAAGGTGGTTATTGGAAAGGAGTTCATTCAGAAAGTGGGATTTGGTTGACTGTTTTCGGGATTCTTATGTGGGATGCTATCTTTGCTGACGTGGCAAATGTCTTTCTCACCAGATTTCAAACATCACCTTTAGATCTGGAAACAGACTACTTTTACGAATCCAGGAAAAACATTATAGAATCTTTACTAGTAAAAATCCAACAAGGAATGGGTGAAGAGATGTTGATAACTTCATGGGAGTTGCATTTCGGGACAGCCTGTCGTTGCGTTAACTGGAACAGACACTCGTTGACTGAGCTTCGAGCGGTTGTGTCATGCATAGGTGGCGGTTGTCTGGCGTCCATCTGTCGCCACCTGGCGCAGGATTACCGGAGTTGGTCTAGTGGGATGCCGGATTTGTTACTCTGGCGATTTCATTTCGATTATAGCGGTGAGGCTAAGCTTGTTGAAGTTAAAGGGCCGAGAGATCGGGTTTCTGAACAGCAGCGTGCTTGGCTTTTGTTTTTTATGGATTCCGGTTTCAATGCCGAGGTTTGTAGGGTCAATCCTCCGGTTAACAAGTAAGATTTGTTAAGTTTTCGTATAATAAGGGTAAAATCGTAATTTTACATGGAAGGAAAATGGTAACAAGTTTACTAAAACCAAAACAGATGGTATACTATACTACAGGGACTAAACTTGCAGTTTACTTTAATATATATATATATATATATATATATATATATATATATATTTACAAAATTGTAATAAGATATTTAAGAAAATGGGAACACAAACCAATCAAATGTGAAAAATTGTAATGTATTTGTATTGATTTGTTTATAGTTGTAAACTTGCAATTTATTTTCTTGTTATAATATGTTATTATACATAGAAAAATTTATCCATGTAAACAATCATTTAAATGCAAAAAGTATCACATCTATTAGTAGATAGATTTTTGTAAGTATATTAAGAGTAGATGCTAGAATATACAAGTAAATAAAAATGTGTTATAGTTTTTTTCATTTAGCCCAAATAAACATGACTTAAATGTGTGAAGTTCTTAAGAAGATGATATATTTGCAATCAAGTCCCTTTAGGTTAAGGGACATCCGATGAAATTGGAATGATACACAAATTAAGAAAATGTCCAAATAATATAAATATACAACATATTTAAAACACATAATTCCTTAAACCATATTTTTCTCATATTAAATAAGGTGAGACATGCAATCCCATAATTAATTTCTGAAATAACACCTAAAAATTATAAATTTTATAGTACAAATGTCAATGACAAAAAGGTACAATGGTTAAATGTGGGAATGGGGCCATGTGGTTACAAAGATCAACCAGGGTTACACCCACATGGATATGTCAAGCACCAACCTTGCAAAACTATGTGCAATTTATTAACAAATTTACAATCTTTTGATTCTTTGATCAAGTCCCTCATTTATTACCAAATTTGTCTTTTTCTCCCTTCTTAATTTAGTTCCAATTCTTTCATAATGATTCATGTCCCACAATTTCAAAATTATGTTCCTTCTTATTCCATGGTGGGCCGACCCGGTTAACCAATGTCGGGTTCATATGATGGGTGGTTGGATTTGAGTATTGAACCATGGTCCATGTTGCAATTCAAGTATTGTTGTAGTTAGTTGCACCATATAATTTAAGGTGATGTGTGCATGTGTAATATGAAAGCGATCAAACGATATATGAACAATCATAATCACATAATTTTATTACTAGAATGGATCGTAGAAGATAATAGTATTTGGATGCACTTGTATTTTTTGGAATTGTTGTAAAGATACATAGAGTTGGAAAAATTATGAGTTTTTTTTAAAGAATTAATAGAAACACCTTTTATATTATGGAAGTATTTTAAAATATGAAGAAAAAAATGATCTATCATGCATTGTCATATATATATATATATATATATATATATATATATATATATAAAGGTTCTATGGAAAACAAAAAATATATTTATTTTATTTGGAATGAAAAAACGTTACAAAAATCTCAAGTAATAACCAAAATTACAAGAGTTTTTAGACTAAAATTGAAAAAATCATATAGAGACTAAAAATAAAATTTACTCTAACTAAAATTAGAAATAACTTACCAAACCTTTAATAACCAGTTAATTTCAATTTAAAATCACTAATTAAATATGAAATACACATCCAAAACACCCAAAATAAATGTCGACAACCTAAACAGTAAACAAAGTACAAAGTGAACTCCCATTTGACAAAAGCTTCGATGACTTGTACAGTGTGCTAACATCATTTATGCTGACTTTGCTCTTCTTACTTGTACCTTACAACTCAATAATCCACCTTACAACATATTTAGTTATTTACGACATCAAATATCAGCTTTTAGTGACGTGTACACTCTTCTGACACCAATTGGTAGTTATGGTTACAGACCTCTTTACTGTGTTATTAACACTTGTACAGTACAACTCACAGATGCATTCCTAACCCCTTTTAAGACCAACAAAATCCATCTTCCCTCAACCATAAAAACTCCCACTCAACTCCTCAAACCCAACCCATTTTCCCTCCAAACAAAAAAATGATCAACTTCAATGACTTGTACAGTGTGCTTACTGCAGTTGTACCTTTATACGTAACAATGTTCTTAGCATACGCGTCTGTAAAATGGAACATTTTCTCACCACAACAATGTGGTGGAATAAACCGATTTGTCGCCATTTTTGCTGTTCCTCTTCTCTCATTCGAGTTCATTTCAAGAATCAATCCGTATAAAATGAACCTCAAATTCATAGCAGCCGATGGTGTTTCAAAGATTTTGACATTAATCGTTTTGTTTTTATGGACAAATTTGTCAAAAAATGGAAGTCTAGATTGGGCTATCACGATGTTTTCCCTTTCTACCCTTCCTAACACGCTTGTTATGGGAATCCCACTTTTGAAATCGATGTATGGTGATGATAAAGAATCAATCATGGTTCAAGCGGTTGTGTTGCAGTGTATAATATGGTACACGTTGCTTTTGTTCTTGTTTGAGTATCGAGAAGCTAAGAATTTGATACTGACAAGTGGCAGTGGTAACAATATCAGTAACAGTAGCAGTATTAGTAACAGTCAGAGAAATGATGAAAGTTTTTGGGAGGTTCAAGAAAGGGTGGAGAGAAGTACGCGAAATGAAGATGATATTGTTAATGTAATTCAGAGTCTTAATAGGGTAGCACCCGCAATCGCGACTGCAGTTGATGATGATAAAAGAGAGTTGCATTTGTTTATTTGGCGTTGTAGGTGTTGCAGTTCTCCAGGTAAGTACGGATAAATGATGTTTAATAAAGAAAATACCCCTCATGAAAATTTGTAAAAAAAGTCGGTATTTTTTAGGAAAGTCTCATTTTCTTTGAGTTTCTCTGTTAAGTCGTTCTTTCTGAATTAATAACAGATGTATGCGAACAATCGGTCGAAGTATGCAATAGAGAGAATGAGAAAGCCGAGAGTGTTGAGGAACTGAACATTATTGAGTCTCCGGGGTCACCTTCAATGTTAAAGAAAATCTTGAAAATGGTATGCTTTAAGCTGGTGAAAAACCCTAATTCGTATGCGAGCATACTTGGTCTTAGTTGGGCTCTTGCTTCTTGCAGGTAAACATCTGTATTTCTAAAGATCAAGATTTTTTTTTTTTTTTTTTTTTTTTTTTAAATTTTTTTTTTTTTATGATAAAACGCAGATGGGGAATAAAGAAGCCACAGATTCTGGAAAATTCAGTTACCATTCTCTCAGATGCAGGCCTAGGAATGGCAATGTTCAGTCTAGGTACGGACAAACCCTTGAAAATAACATATTATACTGCATTTGGTTTGCACTAGACTGGTTGACTAATGTCAATGGAACAAAAATTGGAATTTTTTGTTCCACACAAAAATGTGGGACAGTTAATTTCTCGTCTATGCAAAAGACGTAAATGCCATTTCTCATCGTGATTATACAAAATAGCCTTGGAAAGCTTGTTCGGTCTCGTCCAATCTACTCTAGTCTTGTCCCGTGTAACGGGACATGACTGAATGACATAGGACCGACTAAACAAGCTTTCTAGGGATATTTTGTATAATCACGATGAGAAAGGGCATTTACGTCTTTTGCATAGACGGGAGATCAAGAGCAAGTCCCTGTCTCACCTTTTTGGGTGGAACAAAAATTTGCATTTTTTGTCTTGTTGACATTAAGTCAACAGTCCTAGTCCAATGCATGTCAAACGTAGTACAGCTTATTCTGTTTTGTTTGTTAACAAACAGGTTAACATGCCTTTAGTGAAATGTTGTAACAACTTTTTTAACTAAAAAACTTGCATCTATTATAATGTTGAAGGTTTGTTCATGGCTTCACAACCGAAGCTTATAGCATGTGGGAACAGATTAGCAGCCTATGGCATGGTGGCAAGGTTTGTAGCGGGACCCGCCGTGATGGCAGTTGCTTCTATAGGTGTAGGTCTAAGAGGCACTATCCTACAAGTTTCTATTGTTCAAGCTTCTTTACCACAAGGGATTGTGCCCTTTGTGTTTGCTCGTGAGTACAACTTGCATCCAGACGTTTTGAGCACTGCGTAAGTCATATATATATATATATATATATATATATATATA